ATAAATTAATTTGTATTTATAATTATGTAACTGCCTTGTTTTTTTGCATCGTTTAAGATTTATTTTAAATTATTTTTGTAGAAATATATCACCAAAATATATAGTTGTGCAATTCCTATACAGTTGTTTACACTAAACTCATTTCTATCAATACTATTAACAGAGTATAAGTTTTGCATGTTGCCTGATTTGTTCTTTTTGTACACTTAATGAAAGTGTATAAAATAATTACCAAAATGTTGTGCAAGTAATTTGAGTCGTCTTTGCTAAAAAACTTTCAGTGCTCTTGACTATGTGTATTGTAATTATTAGTGATTTTAGTTAAAAGTATTCAAATATCTTTTGCTTGAAAAAATTGCTCAATTTTCAATCATCACGATATAACTGTGATGACCTTGATGTGATCAGCAATTTAAGACATGTGCATTTTACATATTTTAACTGATGAATTATTTGATGAAAGGGAATTAATTAGCTCGGTTTCAGTGCACTTTTTTAATATTTTTTCAGCACCAAACTTTCAATTTTTGAGAAAAAATGTATTTAAGAAACATGAGCCATTTAGTGAGTAATGTGCAGAGCTCCTTTGCCTTGTGTAAAATGCTTTTTTTTTTAATAAAAGTCTGTTGTTACTTGATTGTATTCGACGAAATCACCTTATCATAAACAAAAAAGGCGGTCTTTTGTACTGTTTAGGAGAATGCTTCTCTGTTTCATTTCATTAAATTGTTGCCTTCATCTGAGCTATTAACTGGACTGAGATTTAAATTTTAATACTGTCACAGTGTTGTGAAAAAGACAAATGTCATTGTTTTTTGACTGTCGAAAATTTAAAAATAAAACGCTTCAGTATATAATATAGATTTTAATACAGGAACTTGGTCACTCTATGTAAACTTCGTTATCAAGCTGAAGAAACAATTTAGGATTAGAAAACTTGTACGTTTGATTATTTTCTGTAATTTCAATTTGTTAACGAAATTCGTGGTAACGATTTTTAGATTTCAAAAAAAATAAAATCGTGATGAGTATTAATTAAAGCAAGATACGATGTTACGAGATTATTTCGTTGAAATTCTTTTAGAGTGAGTTTTGTTACAATTCATATGGTTTACCAATATTAGGAGGACGATACGTTTGAGAATGGAAAGTAAACAAATTAAAGCAAATAAAGATAATTTTGGGACTGTTTAAAATTATTGGACTTTACCAATCACACTTCCTTTCTGTTTCTTTGTATCATTACAAAGTTTTTCGAAAAGATAAGATTTGGCTATGGACTAAAAATCTGAAATGCTAAGACAAGCTTCATTTTATCTGCTTGTTTGCGAATCAAGTTTGTTATTTCAGTAACGATTTTATGATTTTTTCGCACACGTCATAGCTTCGTAGACACTTCCAACACTACGTACCTGTTCTAATAGTATTTGCTGATAAAACCAGAATGTATGTCAGTAAAAAATTGAATAGTCCTGTGAAAGATGAGTGATAATTATAGCTGAAAAATTTTTTTTGAATGGAATTTTGTGAACCTAAAAGCTGCTCGTGACTGAAGAGCTATTATTTATTCACTGAAACTGAGAGTGAAAAATTGCTGGTAATACTTTACAACAAGATTGCTCAGATGTTTTTAAAACAGCGAATATATAAGCATACAAGCTATAAATGATCCTTCAATGTATTAAACTTTTACCTATATAAAGCTAAACTGTCTAAACTGGGAATCAGATTTGGAAAAAAATTAGAGTATCTTCTCGAATTATCTGATCAAGGCAAAAAATAAAACATGATACCCAACAAGTAATATTAACAAACTACATGACTGTCAACAATTACATTGTAGAAGTTGTGCTTATTTGACTAATTGGAAATTTTTAAAATAAAAGAAATCTGATGTTTTTTTCTTAAATATTTAATGAAACGGATTTGGATGATTGAGACATTCTGACAATTTCATTTACTCATCATCCAAATTAGTTGACAAGTCAATTTCAGTTTTTTACATTATATATCTTCATGTCACTAAATATAATGGAATTTCTGATTGACCCAACCGTTTTTTGATAATTTTTCCCTCTCTTCTTTTAAGTTAATGCACACTGTATTCAAAAGCTATGACAAATAAGAAGTTTGAGTTAACTATAATAGATATTAACATCTTAATTAACGCAAGTAATATATGGCATTAATTTTCGTGATCTTATTTTATCTCATTTGCACACTACATCTTCATCTCAGTTTTCGAGAAAATGTATAATTTTTCTCGATTCAGAAGAATACTGCAGATATGCCTTACTTGAATAACATTAAAAAGACCGTATAACGTTCTGCTACTATTCTTTATTTCGTTTAATTTACTATTAACATGACTGAAATCATATTTTATTTTCTTCTTGCTTAAAATCATATCTTATTTTTAATCTTTGTATTGCCCATATTAAGTTGATATAGATTGTTTAGTATGCCTTCATCTGCCATTTACAGAGCTTGAAAACAGCGTAATGCGGTCAGTTTCCTTTTTTTCTCTTTTTTTAAATTTGCATAAAACTGCAATTAAAGGGGATGAGAAAGAAATAAAAGGGGTAGTGGTCTGCGAAGAGATAAGAGCATAGAAAAGAAAGGGTCGGTGACATTGTTATAAAAGTAGTTGTGAGCAGTAGTTCGATTGAAAGTCTGAACTGTGGGTCAATCTGAAGGTTACAGTTCAAAAAGAGGTTTAGGACAGCTTAGTTCATGCTTGTCCTGCACCTTGGGATCTTAACATTAAAGTTGACCATCGACCACTGACTACTTTTTGCTTTTTCTGCATTCATATCTATTTGGTCATTTAATCTTCTTTCTCTGCAAATTACAGGTGTGTTGCTCGAATCACTCTCCATCGCATACACACTTTCTTTTGTTCCCTATCTGTCTCTCGATGCATCTATGTGTCACATACATAAATATGTATATTTGCACATGTATATGTATCGCTATATTTGAAGGTCATTGTTGACCACCACCTGTCGTTCATCTCTGTCTATCTGTTCACCTGGAAACTTACGACCTGCTTTTTGACCATAGACATATTACTCATGTCTTTTCAGGTAAGACAGTATTTACTGATTGTTCCCGCTACCTTTCCTTTCATTCAACAATCTATCTTCGTTTTTGATTTCAGCCCACTCGAAAATTCTTTTCCTTCAACACACGCGCATGCTCACATATGACTCACCATTATCATTATCTATCATTTCATGCTGTTTGCTATTATAGTTTGAACTTTTTCATCAATTTTATGCCAGTTTTGTGCAAGTTCATCACATTATCCATCTTTCAAAACGTGGTCATCACTGATAACGACATGTTCATCTCATTTTCTTGTACGTCGAGTAATTCTAAACTAATGCCTTTAATTCAGGTTGTGTTCTCATGAGTTTCACAATATTTTGAGCGTCAAGCCATTGAGAATCCATTTAAGCAGTTTTGCGTTAGCATTCATATTATTCATATTGTTTTTTAGCTTTCAAAAATATAGCAAATATCATACATAAGTGATAATTTGAGAATTTTCCAGCTGTTATGTCTGTCAATGTTAAGCTGTAGTACTGAACTTAAGCTGCTCACTACCACCGCTATTGCTGCTAAATTATCAGCACTTTTTTACAGGCAACTGCACAATTTGGTCACATCAATAATTTCTTGCGCATTTGTGGTTATTTTGAAAATGTTCATATTTTTAAAATCCATTTGCAACAATAGATTCTTTCAGTAGATTCTTATTTTGTATCTATTCTGTCTTATCCTTCTTTTTATTTTCAATCCCTTCCAGTATAATAAGGCACTTTATATTACTGAAAATAACATGCTAAGAAGACAAATCCCAAGGTTCTAATTTCATTTTGCTATTTGAACCAGATTGATTCATACTGTTATCACATTTCTCTCTCTTCTACTGCATTTTTTGAATAAACAAACACCTATTACTAATCCATTTACTACTACATCACATAAATTGAACAACACTTTCGATGTAAACAAAGTCATCTTGCATGGATATGAAGAAGTTCTATAAACGCTCTACCGCATGCCAGAAATTTCGATGTTTATTATTTATGGATATATGGCTGAGTGAAGTGTTCGTAAGTATTTTTTATTGCATGTCATGAGCGCTAATGCTCAGCAGGAAAAAATTTTCTACCTACGAGAAGTTTAAGTTGAATTGTTGTTCCATGCATGTTGAGAAGATAAACATTCAGCATCACTACTTTAGACAATAAACGAAAATTTATTGTATAACATAGTGTAACTGAACGACGGACAAAAAAATTATTGAAAAAAGAAATTGGAAATAACTGATTGTACTGTTTACTGCACAAAACTGCATAGTGTTAAAATTTGCGTTGCAATGATGGACCAAACTAAATGAATGAATCATTTGTCCAACTCGCGCAACCATTTCACTCATTCACTCAGTCTGTTATATATTTAGGACGATTATTTGGTTGTAAATAAAATGTAAGCAAGTCAGTCAACTCTATTACCTATAGAGAGAACTTGGAACTCATAAGGCATGGAATTGGTAATAAAAGTTTGTAAACAAGGTTTTTTAATCTCATAACTTATTCTTTCTTTGTAATAGTATTTTTAAGACTTATCGAATGGTGAGAGTATCTTTTAATATCAGTCTACTCAGTACTTGCCACCAATGTTTTATCCTTTTGATCTTTACTTAACCTTTTAACTTTAGTAGGATAGCAAGCACGCATATAGAAAATTGTTTTTGACTATCATGCCTAAAAATTTCTATTTTAGCATTACTGGGCATCAAGTTTTGAATTGCAAAATGGTTATGTATTGGTTAATTATTTTAATGCTTGATAATTACAGTGTGTATATACTTTTGTTGATATTACAGCTGTGCAACAGCAAAACCGATCATAGCTGCCTTTTTGCTGTTTTTCTGCCTTATTGCTGTTTTTCTGCCTAGCATATTTCTCGTTTGCAACGATTGAAAAGTGATAATAATGATGGAAGCAATACAGGGTGCTATTCTAAAGCGATCCTGTTTATTCATCATTTTTATCTTTCAGCCAATCTCAGGTTTTTATGATTAATTTATGAATCAGCTCTAAAATGTAACGATTTTTTAAATCTCAATTTATTAATGAAATAATAACAAAGTATACAGAAATTTGATGTTTGTGAAGTTTTTTTTTTTTTTTTTTTT